TACCAGGCATAAAACAGGAACCCTGGCTTTACAGAAGAAGCGACCCAGAAGATTATTTTTCTAAATACCAGGCCTTCTGTAGAAACTGCAAACAGATGGCAACTTTTCAAGCTTCCATGTGTGCCATTTCTCCACTGGAAGCCAGGGACACCTGATCACCCCCTTCCCTCTCCTGCCCAGGTCTGTCATTCTGCCCCCCACCCATCTCCCTTAATCGAGTCTCTCTATAAGTGGCGCTTCTACCTCTCCCTTTTGCTGGCTGTTTTGCTGGCTGGAGCCCGGGCCCTGCTAGCCGTGCCTCCCTGTTCTGCCAGAAAGGAGCACATGAGGTTTACAGGTGCCTGAGTCTTTGCCTCCTTATAAATGGGTGGGAATTGCTACAGCACAGCTGTGTCCCTGCAGGTTGTCCCCTATGTCGAACAAGCCAACGGGAAGAGGTGGGAATGCCCCTTCCCTTGCCTGACCTGGTCGCACATTTCCAGATTAGGTCTCACCACAGATACACTCTCTCTTTTCATTCTCTTCTCTAGGAACTTCAGTTTTCAGACCAATTTTTCATCCCCAGGAAAATCTTCAAAAGCTTTCCCTCCTGTACTGTTACAAAAGACAAGAGACTTGAGAAACAACAACTCAAATGCCTGTGTCGACTGTGTTTGGATCCTGATTTGAATAAACCAAATGAGACAGGCCACCCTTGAGAAAAGTGGGGACATGTGAATATGGAATGCATATCTATATATTAAGGAATTATTCTTGATTTAGCAGGTGTGATAAATGACACAGTGATAATATTAAAAAGAAAGTCCTTATCAGAGATTCATGCTGAAGAATTTATGAGTTAAGTAAGTCTGAAGTTTGCTTTAAAATACTCCAGAAAAAGTAGTGGTGGAGTTGAAGGATAGAGGACTGGCCACGACTTGTTGCTTTTGAAGCTGGGTAACAGGTATGTGGAAGTTATTCCACTACACCATTCTTGACACTTTTGTGCAAGTTTTGAAAACTTCCCATAACAAAAAGTTACAAACTCTCCCTCTTTTTTTTTTCCTGAGGAAGTTTCGCCCTAAGGTAACATCCCCAATCCTCCTCTTTTTTTTTTTTTTTTCCCGCTTGAGGAAGATTAGCCCTGAGCTAACTTCTGTGCTAATCTTCCTTTATTTTGTATGTTGGACACCTCCACAGCGTGGCTGGTGAATGGAGTGGGTCCGTGCCCCGGGATCCGAACCCACGAACCCAGGCTGCTGAAGCGGAGCGCACAGAACTTGAACCACTCGGCCACGGGGCAGGGCCCCTCTCTCTCTTTTTAATCTCTGTAATCTCCTTCTCTTTAATCTCCATGTAACAGTTTCAGGTTCCTGACCCCAATCTAGGCTCACCCTCATCCTCCAAATTCCACTTGGCACCTTCTCCAGAAGGTTACAGCTTGGAAAGGGGCTATCGGTAGTGGGGAAACCTTCCCTGAGAAGGCTTCTGCTCTCTGCTGTCCCCTCACCCTCTCTCAATCAGAGTTCATCTCTCTCCTCTTTTCTGGAATATTAGGTACCTCTATTTTATCACTCACCAGACCTTTCCTATCTCCCAGTTGGTTGGGTCCCCATCTGTCTTAGACACTGAGTCTTTTATTCAGGGATTGTCTTGTCCTTATCTGTCACCTCCCTACAGAGGCAGAGCACAATCAGTGTTTGTTCAACTGAACCGGCCCCCTCTGCTCCTCGAATATGCCTACTGCTGGGTCACCTCTCCAGGGCAAAGAATCTTCTCACGGGCCAAGAGTTTCACAGACAAAGGAGAAAAGGCCATTCAGTTCCACAGACATTTACAGAGGCCAACAGTGGGGGTGGTAGCTGGACACACAGCCACCACATGGGCCAACTGCGCTGTGTGATGGACTGAGGTGGGAAGCCACCATCTTCATAATCACCTGCGGGGGAGGGTGGGCTGTAGGAGGGGGGCTCATGGAGGAGACTCTGGCTTCTCTTGTCATTATTACTCTGCCCCATTCCTTTACTGCCAGCCTCCTGCATCTGTAGAATTATGGCGTACCACACCATGGTACCATGCAAAGCCGGGTAACCATGTGCCATGTGCATCCGCCTCAGAGCAGAGACAGGCTGCTGCCTTCTCCAACCGCTGGCTCTCTAGCTTCCTTGGGAATCGTTATTCAGGAAGATGTCATACACTTACCCTCCCCTCCCCAACAGCCCAGGCTGGCATTTGCACAGAGGCTGACCTTTCATTCACAGCCTGGTGAATGAAAAATCCTCCATGACCACAGAGGGGCCTGCCCACAGAGCAGTGTCCCCCAGGCCTTTCTCTCTCTAGGTGCCAGTGAAATATTCCACTTCTGATACCCCATCCCACCATCATCAGCCCCGCCCTGCACTTGACACCACTGTTAAAATGCCAGCTGTGGGCATGTGGTGAAGAGCTAAGCAGGTCCTCTGGCTGAGCATTCCACAGGCCTCCTTGGGCTCCCCTCGGCAACAGGTTCTGGAGTTGGACTAGCTGGGTCACAGAGGAAGGTAACAGTCTTCTCTGATTTCCCTGAAAGACTTGGGGACATTTCTCAGTTCACTTCAACTTTTCTTTGGAAGGTCTTAGTACAGAAAAGGGTCTGTTTATAAAACATCTAAATGACAAGTAATTACCAGCAACAACATGAACACAAAGGGGACAATTCCACTACTGTAAAGAAAACCACGTTTGTTTCTGACCCAGCCCTGAGGTTGACTAGCTGGGTGACTTTAGACAAGTCCTGTCCCGTAAAATGCTGTAAGATGAGGGTGTCCGCTGGTTCTCCTCTGAGGACTCTCCTTAGCACAGACAGTGTATGGCTCATGCCATGATCATACAATAACCGCTTCTCCCTCCCTTTTCCCAGTCTCCCTAATTCAAATCATTGTCAGCATCTTACTCCTTTACTGCATTTTATTTTGACCTTCACAAGAAAGTTTGCCCTGAGTTGCTCAATCAGGGGCTTCCTTTCCTTAGGAAACCTGGCTGTATGGAGGTCACGATCTGCTGACATGGCCAAAGGGACCTTTAACATTTGCAGTGTCTTATGACAAATGGGTACATCACACCCCATGTGTGTGGCAGGTAAGTCCTTGGGGGGACTGTAGATGGGTCATTTGTACTAATTCTCCCAGGCAGGCATGAAAAACAGGGCTTTGCCATCTTCCATTGATTCCAAGGTGCACATTTTTGGATCTCTGAAATTGGGACACATCTCCCAATCAATGCAGTCCTATCATTACTGTGGGTCTGAAGTGAAGGCAGTTGCTCTGGGAGATGACCACACTGCTTCTGCAGCCATCAGGGCCACACAGCCTCAGACGGTTTGACATTAGATTCTCTGCTTGAGGTTCTTTTGGATCACATTGGTTGTGCAAATTCAGAAAGGAGCTACCACTGGCCTGGGGCTCCTACTCTCAGGGGAGGATTTTTCATCCTTCCATTAGTGTCAAGGTTGAGACACGTGTTTCCTTGCTTTCCCTCTCTGCTTGTGGCTTTATTTCTCATTTACCCTCTCAGTGAGTGTGTCCTAGCTTTGTGTGTGGGGTCTCCTATTGGACTTCCCACCTTGGGCTTTTATTCTTTCTTATTTTTGGTACATAAAATGATGCATTTTATAATTATGGTTTCTTATATTTGAGGAAAAAAGTTTCTCTTACAAATATTATATATGATATTTGAAATGATCCAGCAAACTAACAGAAAAGGAGATAGCACTTTGAACAAATGGTTTCATAGGATCAAAATCTCATATCTCATCCTAAACCACTTACTGTCTGTGCTAAATGGGCATCTTCCCCCCCAGCACCTCAGGGTGTGGACTAGCCCGGCACCCATCATGGCTCCCCATGACTCTTGGGATAAAGGCAGAGCTCTTTAATATGGCAAAGCCCTGCTGGTCCTGCATCCTCTCCATTCACGTCTACACCATACTCTTATTCTCTCCTCTCCAGCTCTCCTTCTGTCCCGAATTTTCAGCCTTCCATGGGCCCTCCCACCACAGAGCCCTGGCATGACAGTTCTGTTGGGATCACTTCTTTCTCCCTACTTTGCTTAGCTGTTCTCAGCTCCAGTGTCTCAGGGATGCCTTCCCCGACAAAGTCAGACGCCCACTGCAGGCTCTTGCAGTGCTTCTCTTTCATAGCATATCTCCCAGCAGCAGTTCTACATTTGTAGAATGTTCTTGATTAATGTTGGAATCCTTCACTGGACTGCAAACTCCACGAAGGCAGGAAACATGCTTTTTTTCACTCAACATTGTATCCCCAGTGCCAAGACGAATGCCTGACAGTTGGTAGCTGCTCAAAAATTATTTGTGAATGGCTGGATGGATGAATCTGGGTATAACCAGCCCTATCAGCAGAGAATAAACTCTTGGAGCTTGGGGCAGTTAGGGGAAGCAGAAAGAGCAACCAACTCATCATCAGAAAGCTTCTATTTTTGCCACTATTGTGACTTTGGGCAAATCATATCCTCTCTGTTTCCTCATCTCCAAATTGGGAATAACATTGACCCTGCCTATCTGATAAGGGTATTTTATGAGGCTGTGAAGGCACTTTGAAACTATATAATCTGTTCCCTGACCCCAAGCTTCTAGCACAGCGCTGGGCCCACACTCCATGCTCTGTCTATATGAGTTGGTTGACGGGCCCCACCTCCAGGAAAAGGGAGATGAAATCATACAGTCCTTGGGGAGGTGTGCTCAAAGCTTGGGGTCAAGAAGGGACCACTGAGCCTTGTGCTTCCCGATCTTAATGTCCACCCTCTTCAAAAACTCTCATGGAGAGCACGGAGTGTGGCCCAGGGCCCTAGGTTCACAAGAAAAGGAACCTTCTTGTTGAGTCCCTTTGGTCTTCATTCTCAACACAAAGTTGGGGCCCTTAGCCAGAGGGGGGAAAGGCGGAGAAGGGTGAGGCGCTGTGCCTTCCCTCCTGCTCTGCAGGGACGGGGCTGGATAGGGACAATGAACTGCTTCTTCTAGGACACACTTCTTGGGACAATTGTCTAAAAGTATGAGGCATTTCACTTATAGCTGGCAGAATACATGAAGTTGCTTACTTTTCCTCTGGGATCTGACCTTTAATATTCAGGGGGTTTTTTACAGCAAAGCCTCACCATTTCATCCCATATACCTACCTTAGAGTTTGGCATCCTGGGTTTCTGTTTCATCTGCATCAACTAGCTATGAATGACCCTGAGTAAGTCATTTTCCCTCTCTGAGTCAATTTCCTCATCAGTTACATGGAAATAACAGTTACAACAATAATAATACCACCCACCTTCCTCTCTGAGTTCATTTAAGGATCATATGAGGTCAAAGACATAAGTGCTTCGTAAGGGAAAAGTCAGTGCAAAAGAAAGGTAATATTTTCTCTGTGTGTTTTAAATACCTGCTTCTGCAGCAGGAAAGCAGCAAGCTGACTTACTGTTATCCCTAGTTAACTCGAATATTACCCAAGACTTGCAAGCCGTAAGGCATGTAGGTGGGGAGTGAGATGTGAACAAATCCATTAGCACAAATCAGTGATCAAGCGTCTCCCCAGGGCCAGCCATCTTCCATCTGGAGAAGGGTACACTGAGGGGTATTCATTCTCAATGGTTTTAACAGCTTGGCTGCTCTGCCAGCACTCTCCCAGAAAACCAGGTTGGTGAGAGGAGGTGCAGGATGAATAATTAGCTAACACCCTGTGATTCTGGATTCTGTGAAGGGGGTGGAAAGCTATGCTACAGACACACACCCCTGCCGGATAATTCTAGCTGATGCCCCGGCACGGCAGTTGGGAACATGCTTCTGCAAACCACCCAGGCGGCATTACTGTCTGGATTCTGGTGCTCAGAGCTTCAAGCCGGCCAAGAATTCCTCGCTGCAGGATCTGTTGAACAGCTCCACTAGAGACTCAGTGGTGTCCTGGTGGAACATGGAGCCCATGCTATCTGTGCTCCCGCTCTCCAACTGGAAGCTGCCCATCAGTTCCTGGATCCACTGTAGGTCTGCCGAGAGCTCTTGCCTCAGAGCCTCAAACTGCGCCTGCAGATGGTCCAATTTCCTGGCCAAGCTCCCGAGGCTGGACGCTGTGGCCCGGATGTCTTCTCGAAGGAGCTTCTTCAAGGACTCCACTTTGCGGAACTCATACCTGAGCTGGGACAGGTCTTGCCGGGCACTCTCACTCTCCTCTCGGTACCAAGCCTCCTTCTCATTGTAGATAGAGACCAGGGTCTCCACATCGTCCTGGATGGTATCATGGGCCTCTGCCAGGGCACGGCATCCCTGGTCCACCTGAGCCACGTCCTCTACCACGCGAGCAAAACGCTCGAAGTTGACGTAGGTGTTGTTGGGGGGCATGCTTGAGTGGCATTTGAGGGTGTACTCCCTCAGGCGCTTGGTCTTCAGCTGGGCAGGCTCTGTCTTCCACTGTTCTGGGGTTCTGACTTCTCCTTTGGACTGGTAGGTGTTTAGAAAGAAGAGTCAGAGTTAATTTGACACCTGCTCCAAAGGGCAGTCCGAGGTGCAGGTGGAAGGCACACGAGCAGCCTCTTTGGCATTCACTGCATGCGTCAGGCCATAGGGAGGACCAGCGTGGGATGAGCACCCCTACAGACCGTAAGAAAGCTGGCGGAGCACAGGGGTGCCACCTGCATGCTCACTTCAGGGCAGGCTGGTCCACGGCCATTAGAGAGGGTCTCCATATGCATAGCATTTAGGGGTGCTTGCACAACAAGCAGGCTACAGCCGGGACTCTGCAGGCATCCACTCAAGGGCTGGGGCACACTAGGCACGGCTGACACAGGGAGGCTGAGGGGCCTCTCTCCTTCAGGGCCAGTCGGCGCCCTGGGCCTCAACAACACTGGGCATGCTGAGCAGAGAGGCAGCCCAAGAGACTCCCCAACTCAGTGCTCTGGGCCCACCCCAAACCTGGCCTTGGCCATCCCCATCCTTCTATGAGCAGACGAATCTGACCTTCTCCTGAGGGCTGCAGCCCTCCCTGCTCTCCCTCTCCCATAGGGCTCTACCCCTTCTCATCTGCACCCTCGCATCATCCTCGTCGGCCCCCTCATTAACAATCCAGGTGAACGGGAAGTCTGGTGACGTCCCTGGGCATGCACATCTCGTCAGTCAGTGGAACTAGGGCCAGAATCCCCGTGCCCTGATCCCCCCACGCCAAAGTGCTTTTCACCAGCACTTTGCTGTATGTGACTAGACTGCAAGACTCTCTGAAAAACCAGCCACTGGAAGCCCGATTACGAAGTGAAGCAGATTAGGCAGGGATTCATCTTTGTGCCCTTACCGTCCCCAGAGGGGACAGAACTGCCCTGAGAGTAGTTGCCTCTCCTCCCTACCAGGCCTCCATCTTAGAGCCCCATTCCCTGAGGTCTCGAGGTGCCTGCGGAAGCTGGGTGACTGGTTTGAGTGTCATCCTTTACTCAGAGCCCCAAAAATCAGGAAGATGGAGCCCTGGTTACGAAGTCGAGGTTTTCCACTGTCATGGATCTCTCTCTACCACTGGGGAGTCCTGATTTCTGCTTTGGGAATGATGCTGACATGTCCTCCAACAGGGAACACTTTGTAAGATGGCCTCAAAGAAAAAGGGTTTCAAGGTTTGTGATGGTTTCATTTCACAAGTCACCTCAACTTGCGAAACAGAAACTTAAACCTAATAACCTTCGGAGCCCCCAACTAGCTTTCATCTGTGCCCGAGGGTCAGTGTTTCAAGCAAAGGCCTTTCCGTGGTCCCTCTGCATCTGGCCACGCCAGCCAGCCCTGGTGACAGAGCAGGGACCTGCCTGTCCCAGGGACTCATCACTGTCCTTACCATGATCCAGGGGTGTCTGAGAGCCTCTTCGATTGTGAGCCGTTTCCTGCAACAAGGATCAGAAAATAGTGATCTATGAGGACAGAAGCTGAGAGCACCAGTCTCTATCCTTACTCTTTTTCAAAACTGCATTTTGGCATTTTTTGACCACTGCCATCAAACCAGAATAATGGGGGATGCAGAGACAGATGGGGAACTGACTGAATTCCCTGCATTCCAGAGAAAGCGATCCAGGCAGACCCCTCGATAGATTGACATTACATAACCTTTCATCTTTGGTCCCAAAGTTGAAGGGCCTAATGCCACACTATAGGAGAGTCCTAAGTGCTCTTCTGAGCTTCTAGTTCTACATTGCTAAACCTTCGGTCTCTGTTTTTCTGTTTGCCTCCCAGATCCCTTCTCTGGCCTTCCCTGCTCTGTTCCCAGGTAGGGTGATCCTACCTAGCACTGCCTTTAGACAAGGAAATCAGGCCTCTGCATTTTAGAGGACCTCACTCTGGCCCTCTCTGAAGTCTGTGGGACCAAGAGGACATGGCCTTCTAGAGTGTGTGGACCTTACCCCTGCCCCATCTAGGCCATGCTCTGGGCACCCAGCACCCTACAATTCCTTGCTCATCTCCTGCTTTGACCCCACAGCCACAGGGCTCACCTTGGGCCCTAAAGAAGGGGTAGAATTAGCATGTCTCCTATTCTCTCACTTACTGACCCCTCTGAGCCCACCTCCCCTGACTCCCACCTGAATTGGCTTGAAAACTATGCCTTTTTCAAATTCTAGTTCCAGGTGCCTTTGGGACCGACTGTACAAGATAATGAGCCCTGGAGAAACCCAAGCTGACTTCCAAACACACACGTGCACACACGTGCGCACGCTCACACACACACACACAGAGTTATTTGTACTTCAGCAGGAAAAGAAAGCAGAAAGACTTGAGCAAACAAGACAAATGCCAAGTCTCAGCCAGTCTACACTTCTCAGCACCTGCCCAGATTAGACCACAATGGTGTGGATGACAGCCGGTGGCAAAGTGGGGACAGACTGACAAGTCTTTGGGAGAGGCAATAGGAGTCAGTCCCTGAGAAGCCCGTGCCTTTCTCTGTCCTCTTACCGGGTCTCTTTAACTAGAAGCTTCCGAATGAAGTCCTTGGCCAGCTCGCTGGTCTGGCTGAAGAATTCCTCATCAAAGTCATAACTCACTGCTGTGATATTTGCCAGCGTTTCCTGCTTCGTGTCTCCCAGGAAAGGGGACGCTCCACTTAGGCTGAGCACACAGAGAGGGAACATGTGACAGTAGGAAAGAAGATGGAAGGGGGTGATGGACACAGGGACCCCCTAACTCATACTGTTACATGGGGATGGGGCTCCCCATGCTCCCAGCAACACTGCCTGTCCCCTCTGGGCAGCCAGTCAGCAGCCTTTTCAATTGAGTCCAATTCAATACACTTCATGGAGCTCCTACTAAGTGCTTGACAGAGAGAAACTGTGTCTTCAGGGGACTCAAAAGAGGAAGAGAGAGAAACACAGGGACATGGCTCCTCATAATCCCCAGTGGAACAAAGCAGAATATAATAGAAGGCCAGACAAAGGGCTGGAGGAGCACAGGACAGAGGGGAGGTCCAGTGCAGGCTTCAGGGGAGGGTTGACATTTGCATCAGTTGTGTCTTGAAGAATGAAGAGGTTGTCAGCAGTCAGAGAAGGAGATGGAAGGTCTTCAAGGCTAAGGGAGCAGCTTGAGCTCCCTGAGAGGTGTGAGGGAGAGGTGTGAAAGTAGATGGGCCATTAGGGACTAGAAGGGTGTGTGAGGTTCCCCTGCAGGTTTTGTCACGGATGTGTCATCAAATAGTGACTCCTGAATCTGTCTCCTGACTCATATTCCAGCTGCTTATGGGACACCTCAACCCAGATGTGCCACTGTCCCAGAAGTCACTGTGCCCAAACCTCCCTCCATGCACTCCCTGCCTTGATTAATGTCACTTCACAAATGCACCCAAGCTGGAAACACAGCAGCAACCTCTGACTCTTCCTTCCGTTCCCTCACCACATCTAACTGGCCAAAAAGTCTTGTTGATTCCATTTACTAAATACCTCTTAAAGGTCATCACTAAACCCACTGACACTTTCTTAGCATAGTAGCAGCAAGGTGCACTGGGAAAAATTTGATATTTCAATCCTGGGTTTGAATCCCAGCTCTGCTACTCATGTGTGAACCTAGGTGAGTTACTCAGCCTCTCTGAGCTTTGGTTTCCTCATCTGTAAAATGAAGAAAATAAAAGTCTCCACCTCACATGATTATTGTGAAGAATAAATACATATAAAATGTTCCATGCAATCCTGGCCCACACTAAGAGCTCTGGAATTGATGGCCATTATTATTGTCATTGTTAGAACACAAAGAACCTTCTATGACTCCCCATTTTCTACAAGATCATGTCTAAACTCCTAAGCAAGGCATCAGAAGTTGGTCCCTACCACACGCTCAGTACATTTCACCACACTTAACATGCTCACTGTTCCCTTACTCAGCAGGACAGCTCTTCCCTCCTCTTCCACCTGGAGTATTAACCTCATTCTGTATACCCCAGTTCAAATCTTTCTCTCTCTCTCTCTCTCTCTCTCTCTCTCTCTCTCTCTCTCTCTCACTAACCTTCCACAGCCCCAGCAAACCAGTGGCTCTCCCATCTGTGTCCAGCATAACTTCCAGCATAACCTTGGTCCTACCAGGTGAGAGTTACCTATCTGGTGTCTCCCTCTGACACAGAAAGCTCCAGACAAGCAGGGCAGACTCTCCCTCATGTCAGTATCCCAAGTGCCTGGCACAGTACCCGCCATGGAGCAGGCACTCAATAAACTGCGAGCTACAAGAAGATGTGTACCCTGTAAACACAGGAATTCCTTAATATTTCAATATGGAAACCAGAGTTCTGAAGAAATCAAAGTTTCAAGAGCCAATATCTGAATATTCTGGCTCTGATCTGAAACTACATAGCAGTACATCAAATTCTCTTTCTTTGCATCAAATTGCTCTGGGGCTTTTTACAAATACTGATGCCCAGACCCCACCCCTAGTGACTCTGATTTAATAGATCTGGGGTGGGGCCTGGGGCATAGTAGGTATTAAAAGTTCTAACGTGCAGCTAGGGTTGAGACCCTCTGCTGCAGTTTGTTGGGGGGCGGGGGAGTCCACCACATTATACAGTACTCCCAGTCCAAGTTCCGTTGGAAGGCTCAGAGAACTGGTTTATGGGGTGTTGAGAGAATGATCCCCTCAGCTGTTCAACTCTGGTGTCCCCTGTCTTCTCTGACTGTGGGCTGACTCTTACTCAGTGTGCCATCAAAACAGCATTTTCCAGAGAAGTCAAGAATACAATCCCATTTACAATCACAACAAAAAGAATAAAATATCTAGGAATAAATTTAACCAAGGAAGTGAAAGACCTATACACTGGAAACTATAAGACATTATTGAAAGAAATTGAAGAAGACATAAAGAAATGGAAAGATATTCTATGCTCATGGATTGGAAGAATAAACATAGTTAAAATGTCCATACTTCCTAAAGCAATCTATAGATTCAGTGCAATCCCAATCAGAATCCCAATGACATTCTTCATGGAAATAGAACAACGAATCCTAAAATTTATATAGAACAACAAAAGACCCCACTTAGCCAAAGCAATCCTGAGAAAAAAGAACAAAGCTGGACGTATCATAATACCTAACTTCAAAATATACTACAAAGCTATAGTAATCAAAACAGCATGGTACTGGCAGAAAAACACACACACATCAATGGAACAGAATTGAAAGTCCAGTAATAAAACCACGTATCTATGGACAGCTAATCTTCGACAAAGGAGCTAAGAACACACAATGGAGAAAGGAAAGTGTCTTCAACAAATGGTGTTGGGAAAACTGGACAGCCAAGTGCAAAAGAATGAAAGTAGACCATTATCTTACACCATACACAAAAATTAACTCAAAATGGATTAAAGATTTGAATGTAAGACCTGAAACCATAAAACTCCTAGAAGAAAATGTAGGCAGTATATTCCTTGACAATGGTCTTAGCAGTATCTTTTTGAATACCATGTCTACTCAGGCAAAGGAAACAAAAGAAAAAATAAACAAATGGGACTACATCAGACTAAAAAGCTTCTGCAAGGCAACAAAGGAAACCATGAACAAAACGAAAAGACAACCCATCAACTGGGAGAATGTGTTTGTAAATCGTACACCTGACAAGTAGTTAATTTCCAAAATATATAAAGAACTCATACAACTCAACAACAAAAAAACAAACAACCCGATCAAAAAATGGGCAGATGAACAGACATTTTTCCAAAGATATACAGATGGCCAACAGGTACACGAAAAGATGCTCAACATCACTAATTACTAGGGAGATACAAATCAAAACTACAATGAGATATCACCTTACACCTGTCAGAATGGCTATAATTAACAAGATGAGAAATAACAAACATTGGAGAGAATGTGGAGAAAAGGGAACCCTCATACACTGCTGGTGGGAATGCAAACTGGTGCAGCCACTATGGAAAACAGCATGGAGACTTCTCAAAAAATTAAAAATAAAAATATCATATGATCCACCTATGCCACTACTGAGTATTTATCCAAAGAATGTGAAATTAACAATTCAAAGAGATTTATGCACCTCTATGTTCCTTGCAGCATTATTCACAATAGCCAAGATGTGGAAGCAACCCAAATGCCCATCAGCAGATGAATGGATAAAGAAGATGTGGTATATATACACAACAGGATACTACTCAGCCATAAAAAAAGACTAAATTGTGCCATTTGCAATAACATGGATGGACCTTGAGGGTATTATGTTAAGCGAAATAAGCCAGACAGAGAATGACAACCATCGTATGATTTCACTCGTATGTGGGAGATAAACACATGGATAAGGAGAACAGATTAGTGGTTACCAGAGGGGAAGGGGGTTGGAGGAGGGCCAAAGGGGTAAAGGGGCATGTATGTTTGTTTGGTGACGGATAAAACCTAGACTATTGGTGGTGAAGATGATGCAGTCTATACAGAAACTGACATATAATAATGTACACTTGAAATTACACAATGTTATATGCCAATATGACCTCAATAAATTAATAAAAACAAAAAAACCCCCAGGATTTTCCAGGTTGGGTTGGGAAGCACTGATGGAATAAACACCTACTAATTGGCCATATATTATGTGCCAGAGCAGTGCTGGGAAACTTACACATGTAGGCTTATTTAACCCTCACAACACACCCGCGGCAGGAAGTTTGTGATTCCCATTTTTCTGATGAGAAAAATAGGCCAAGAGGTTAAATATCGGCCCAAGGCCAAAGAGACGGAAAGTGACAGATCCACTACACATGGGGCTACACAGGAAATCTCTGCTTAAGCAGCTTAATACTTCAGGGACAGGAAGAGAGATTCTGGGGAAAAAGGAGGAGAGATGTGAGAGCTGGGAAAAGGGAGGGAGAAAGGGAGAGAAAGAAGCAGGATCAGGGAAGTTGTGGCAGCTTGAGGGCTGTCCCAAGGCTTCTGAGTGAAAACAGACATTCTCTCAGGAAACCTCAGCCTGGGTGAGGTGGAGTGGTGGATCCCTGGCCACGGCAGGGATGCAGACACAGGCTACACAGATGGAGGGCTGCAGGCTGCTCTGCTGGCTTCCTGCTCAACCTCAACCTCAGGGTCAAATGTATGAAATGGAGCTAAAAGCACTTAGCCTCAGGTTTGTTGTGTGGATTGAACCATCTGGCTCATGATAAATAAGTAAAGCAGTAAAATCAGTAAATGTCAGTCTGTCCGTCTGCCTGTCCTCTCTCCCAGTTTCCATAGGTCTAAGCTGGGTCTGAGCCCTGGGATCAGGGATACTCACAGTATGTAGGTGATGACACCTATGCTCCTGCAAAACAAAGACAGTCAAGTTAGGGCGCCTGGCTCTCATCTCCGACCAGCAAGGGCCTCCCCACAAGGTTCTCAGGGAAAGTGGTCACTTGCCCCTCCACAGCGGCCTCTGGATGCCACCTCAGGTCCCATGCCCCTCTCCATCCCACTCTTCAGCAGCAGCCTGTGACGTTTGGAGTCATCAAGCTCTGGACATTGAGTCTGAGGACCCAAGTTCAAGACCAGACTCCTAAACCTGCAGGCTGTGACTGGGGCAAGTCCCTTATCCCCTCTGAGCTCTTCTCCTCATAAAATGAGGAGAATGAAAACTACCTCAGAGGAATGCTGGGAGGATTTTAGAAAACCAAGTAATCAAGGTGCTCGGCCAACTAGAAAGCACTGTTCAAATGAAACAAGTCCCGTCTGTGCAGAGAATCAACCACTGCAGTCTCCCCAGACCCAACACAGTGTCTGGAACACAAGAGGCTCTCAGTAGTCATCTGGTTGACTGACTGAATGAGCTAGTGTTACTATTATCTCTACCACGGCTGTGGCAGGCCTCAGGGATGAGCCTGCACCTCCAGCCTCACCTCTCCCCTGTCCTCTGCCTCAGCCATGTTCTAACTGGCCTCAGGTCCAGGCCCAGCTGCCTCCAGCTGCTCAGACCACAGGAGCAGCTAGAGGCTCTGAAAGGCGAGTGTGGAGAAAGGGGATTCGTGGTCAAGGGGGATGTCAGCCAGAGCGAGGGTCTGAGGCCTTCTGCCCTTGGAAGGATCCCTAGGCTACCTGGGTGGCCCATAACAACTTACCACATGTCAGCCTCCAGTCCCAGGGGCTCGTAGTTCACAATTTCTGGAGCTGAAAGAAGCCATATTGAGGAGTCAGCAGGAATATGAAGATGAGAAGAGATGACTGTAGGGAATTTTAGGGAGTTTGGTGCCAAATGTCTCCATCCTGAATCCCCACTAAGGGAAATCAGAGCAACGGATGGAGATAATCTGGGTCTAAGAATTTTGAGGAAGGAAGTTGCCTGTTATCCTGGTAGAAACCTTTTATAAAGAGGCTTTGACAGTGAGGAAGAGGAAAAGTACATAGGAACACGTGGAAAAGGAAGAGGAGGGTGGGGAGAGGGAGATGCAGGAAGGAGGAATCGGGTCTAGTGCCAAGGCCTGCTTTAGAACCGTCTGGTGGAAACCAGTCGGGTCAGTGCTGAACGGTGGTGGAGAAGAAAAGAAGGCAGACAGGGAATCCACATTCCCCTGAGTCTGGTCTGAAAGAGGGCACCTCCCACCTGACGAGTGTGAGGACATTCTGGGGGCCACTGAGATGACGTGTCTGCGGTGCCTGAGGGGCACCGAGGGGAAGATGTCCAGGAAGAAGCCGCGTATCAGGGAGTGGGCCAGAGCCATCAAATTTGGAGTCATTGTGCAGGTGGAAACGAGCTGTGCGAATGACGCAGTGACCAGGAGAGGGTGCAGAGTCTAGGAAAGAAGACTCTACCAAGGAGAGAATAGGACCAAATGCTGCCCAGAGATCAAGCAGACAAGCACTGGAAAGTGAGTGTTGAATTTCACACTCACTGCAGTGCCCAGAGAGTGCCCAAGTGTGGGAAGTGGAGATAAGAGAGTAGAAGACTCTGAAAAAGCTTGGCGATGAAATGGAGGAGGAAGAGGGGGCAGTGGCTACAGAAGGGAGAAGGGCTGAGCCTGTTTAACCACTAATGGAAAAAGGTAGAGAGCGGAAAAGGCTAAGTTTGTTCATCTAGAACAATATCAAAACCACTGCCTCTGTAGCGGTGCCCACCACCCCACCCTCCCACCTCTCCCTATTTCCGGATACAGAATCACTCTCCTGGCTTTGCTTATATTTTAGCTTCGTAAAAATGATGCTGCACATACTGCATGTGATCTACTGTCACTTGATTTTTTTCCCTCACTCATTATGTTTCTAGCGTTCATGGAATCTTCATCCATGATCTTTCATTTTCACTGCCATATAACAGTCCATTGTGTGAATATATGTCATCTTCCAGTTATTCTGGAAGATGATCACCTCTCGGTGATCATTTGGATGGTTTCCACCTCTTTTATTACTGGAAAAACATTGCTATGAACTTTTTTGTACATGTCTCCTGACACACGCATGAAACTTTCTCTAGGACAGTGATCTTCAGAGTGTGATCCGCAGACAAAGAGCCTGCAGACTCACTGGTCCAGACAAGATAGGTACAGAAATTGGGAATAAGCATTTAGAGACTTGTATCGCAATTTGACATTGACATGATGCTCAAACTGTGATAATTTTTCTAGGACTTTATTTTTCTTGTATCTTACTGAAGAAGCAGTCCAGGGCAGATGGAAGAATTATTTATTTATTTTGGGGGGGGGTGAGGAAGAGTGGCCCTGAGCTAACATCTGTGCTAATCTTCCTCTATTTTGTATGTGGACGCCACCACAGCATGGCTTGATGAGCTGTGTGTAGGTCCACGCCCGGGATCCGAACCTGCAAACCCCGGGCCGCTGAAGCAGAGCATGCAATCTCAACCACTATGCCACCAGGCTGGCCCCTGCAGAACTTTTTTTAAAAAGTCTTTCACCATAGAAAGTTTGAGAAGTACAACTCACTTCCCAGTGCTTGTCTGCTCGATGTATATCTACCCTCATTTCTGTCCTCTATGTGCTTTTGTTTGTCCATTTTTTTCCTATGCTTTTCTTCGTCTTTCTTGTTTTTTTTCCATAATTTTTTTGGTTGGTTTTCTTATTGTTTTTCCCCCAACTTCTGTTTTTGTAATGGCCACCCTTGAGACTTTACCATGGCTATCTAACAAAGTCTAACATAAATCAACGTGTTGACCCTCTCAAACAATACAAGAACCTTAGAACACCAATTTCAAGCACTCTGTCCTATCTAACATTATTTTCTTCAGTTTTTACTTCTGTCCTTTTTTTAACCCCATAATTAAAACTTTATCATTCATCATTATTTTAAACAGAAAATGTTTATATTTGCCTAATGTTTACTTATTTCTTTTCTCCTATTATTTCTTGCTTTGAGATTTCACTTCAGAGGTCATTTTCCTTAATTGAGAAGTACATCTTTTCAAAGCTCAATTACTAAATGTCTGTTGGTGGTTAATTGTTTTATTGTTTTGTTTTTCTTGGTTTTTGCTTTGTTTTGCCTGAATCTTTTACCCTCATTCTTGAAATATAATTTTCCAGGGTACACAATTATGGGTTTTTTATTTTTCCTCAGCTCTTTGAAGATATTATTCTATTGGACACTGACTTCCATTATTGTTTTGAGAAGTATGATGTCATTCTAACTATTGGGGATTTTTTTCTAGGGCGAGGGGAGGAAGATTGGCCATGAGCTAAAATCTGTTGCCAATCATCTTCTTTTTGCTGAGGAAGATTGGCCCTGAGCTAAATCCATGCCCATCTTCCTCTATTTTATATATGGGACACCGCCACAGCATGGCTTGATGAGCAGTGCGTAGCTCCGCGCCCTGGATCTGAACCTGAGAACCCTGGGCCACCGAAGTGGAGCACGCAAACTTAACCACTATGCCACCGGGCCAGCCCCTAGTGGGGTTTTTTAAATAGGCGATCTGTCTTTTCTATTTTTTTTCCTAAGGAAGATTCGCCCTGAGCTAACATCTGTTGCCAATCCTCCTCTTTTTGCTTGAGGAAGATTTGCCCTGAGCTAACATCTGTGCCAATCTTCCTCTATTTTGTATGTGGGTCACCGCCACAGCTTGGCCGCTGCCAAGTGGTGTAGGTCCATGCCTGGGAACCAAACCCGGGCTGCCAAAGCAGAGTGTGCCAAACTTAATCACTAGGCCACGGGGCTGGCCCCTCTCTCTGACTACTTTTAAGAACTTCTCTTTGTCCTTGGTACCCTAGAATTTAACTATAATATGTCTAGGTATGGATTTATTTTTATTTTTCCTGTTTGATATACATTATCCTTTCTGTATCTGGGAATGCATGTTTTTACATCAGTTCTGAAAATTCTCAGCCATTCTCTTCAAACATTGCTCCTTAATTATCTCTATTCCCTCCTCTGGGATTCCAAACAGACCTATGTTAGGCTTTCTTTTTTCACCCTCTTTTGCTTATCCTCTCTTTATGTATCTATGTCTTCATCACTCTGTGGTACTCTAGCTAATTTTTTTCAGCTCAGTCTTCCAATTCTTCTATTCTCTCCTCAGCCGTGTGGAATCTGCTGTTTAACCCATTCATTGAGTTTTAAATTTCTACAAGTATATATTGAATTTCTTAAAGTCCTATCTGGTTCTTTTTAGAATTTGTCATTTTTGACAATCTCTTGTTGCTTGCTCATTCTTGTGATTCTACCTTTTATTTCTATATACATTTCATTTATTTTATAGTCAACATCAGATAATTTCAATATGTTAAGTCCTTGAATATCTGAATCTTCCTAGTCTCTGATTGAAAAGCTCATATGTACTCTTGCCTTTAGGAAAGGTCTGCCTATTGAATTTCTTGCTGCTCACAGCTCCAGCTCTAAGTTCATTTCACTGGCTTTTGGGGACAGGTGACGCTAAAGAAATTACTACCCTTAAAGATGTCTCTTATTTCATATGAACCCAGAATTGCATTAACAAGGATATTTTTTTCTGAACAATCCAATTTTGTAGTGAGAGGGCTTTTGGAAAACACCACACTCCTGAAAGCTGACACTAACTTTTTAACCCTGAGCCTCAGGTTGAAATTTCAAAGGAATGGTGGGGGGAAGGAAAGTAGTTATAACCCGTTTCTCAGGGGTCTTGAGTAAAGAAAATCATCATCATTTGGGCAGGGGCTTAGAGAAGCCACCCTATATATCTGTAAGGTACAAATAAAACCCATTCTGGGCTGGAGCTGGGTCCTACTGGCTCACGAGAGTCAACTGCGTGCATCTCTTTCCAACTCTGAATTCAGTGACAACATGTTGGTAGCTTAAAATTGGCAAATGCTATAAATTAAGGTTTTGTTTTGAGACCTGGTTGTTAGGCATTTACCAGCATACCACTGGGCAGAACCCTCCACAGTCTAGCCCCACCCAACTACTGTTGGGTGTCTGTATCATACAGCCAGTCTGGTAGGAACTCTCTGGTCCATCCAGAGTGGACAGTGTATTGTCCCCAATAAATGCACTAATTCTGGCCCTACCCCCCCCCCCCCGCTGTGGATGACTGAACCTGGGATGTGCTCCTCCTTTATCCTGGCTCCTTCCCCACCCCTCTTCAGACACTTCTGCCACCCACAACACCAGCCCTTTGGCCCTCACTTACTCAAGGCCTTGACTGATCCCATTGACTTTGCCAGAGTGGGCATCTTGTTGGAACAGTCTTTCAGAGCTGTCTGTATCACTTGCTTTACAATTAATCGTATCCTGTTTTGTGACACTTCTTCCATTAATGCCCCGAATTTATAGTTGAATCATTTATTGTTATTTAACACTTGGTATGAACTTAACTAAATAAACATAGGCATTTTTACCACATATGTGATTGGTGGGCAGGAAGTTCTGTCTCTGACAAAGTTTGAGAATAGATGTCTTGTGCCCCAGGTTCAAGTGGCTCTGCCACCAACTCATTGTGTGACCTTGGGTGTGTCATTCTGAGTATGGCTCCTTACCATCACTGTGTCCCCAGTACCTCACCTAACATCTGTCATATGGTAGGTGAAGAATAACCATTGGTTGACCTTAACTAAAATCCCCCAGACCTTCAATTCCACATTTGTTAAACTAGACCAGACGATCTGAAAAGATCCTTTCAGCACTCTTATTTGGTGGTTTGATGTCTTGTTTCCACAACTAAATTGTAAGCCCCTTGGGGGCAGGGTCTTCCAAGAGAGACAACCGCTGTAATGGGAAGAGCACAGGCTTTGCTGTTGGATGAATCTGTATTTGAATCTCAGCTCCACCATCTACTGGTTGTTTTGCCTTAAACAAAGCACTTGATAGAGAAAATCATGCAATCTGCTTCATGAGGTCATTTGAGGATTAACTGAGATAATGTCTGTAGAGCACCAGGCATGGTGCCTGGCACACTGCAAGGTTCTTGTGCTCTGGGTCTGTGGGGCCTCTAGAGCACCATTCCATAGTGGCTGCAGAGCTGGTATGTGTGGCCTGAAAATCCATCAGGGTGGATGATCTGACACATTCTGTTTTCCTTTTTGATTAGACTTTGGTCAGAAGTTTCAGCCCCCAGGTTTTGAGGAGACCATGCCCTCCCTCCATTTCCAAGACCACTCCAACTCCCAAAGCAGAGAGATGGTGGTTCTCAACTCTCATTCCTTTCCCCTCTGCAAAGCTGCCTCTTTATGACCCCCAATCTGCAGCCCAAGCCCCATGAGGGGGTTTCTGGGGCCTGCGCCAAGGGTAAGAGAAATAGAGAGAAGAGAGAGCCACCAGGGCCCTTCTGAAGCTGGGCCCTCCGTGCACGAATAAAGGCCAGGCACACAGGAGAGGTGAGTGGGTGGACTTGGCATCTGGCAGATGATTTTCCTTTCGGTTTTCAGGAAATCAAAAGTACTCCAGGGAAAGTTGAGTTTATGGGAATGGAAGAAGGCAAGGTAATTTTAAATCTTCATAATAAACTTATCTAAGAGCAGGAGATGGGGCCAGCTCTGGGGCGTTTAACTCTGCGAAGGCCTCGAGCCCCACCTGGCCTCCCTCTGCCCCACTGGGCGCTCAGAGCCAGCACCTGGGCCCTCACCCAGAGGCCCAGCAAGATATTTTCTTCCCCACCCGTCAGGTTTCTAGGGGTCTCCAAGGTGTCATCTCAGCCCCAAACACAGGATTTGTTCCTGGGATTTCTCTACCTTTTGATCACAGATTCCTAGCTGGGAGAGAAATAGGCCTAAAACTCACCAACAAATTCTGGTGTCCCAAAAATGTTCTTAAATTCTACTCCATCTTCTATTTCATGAGCCAGGCCAAAGTCAATCAGCTTGATGTGTGGAATGGGAATATTCTTGTCTAACAACATAATGTTTTCTGGCTGGAGAACAAAAACAAAGAAAGAAAGGAAGAAAAGACAAGATGGTAATTAAAGCCCTGTTTTGTGTTTTTGCTTTGGGATTGGGGTGGGTTTGGTGTTCTTTTCTCAGAGACTGGAACAGCATAAACTCTGTCTTGTTTTTGTGTCCTCAGTCTTCTCCTGTGAACTCAAACAGGCAGAGCGCCGAGGGCAAGGCCTGAGTTTTACCAAACCTGCTGCTCACAGCACAACTGGAGACTTTGGTTTTAATCCCCTCTCTGATTCTGAATGGCAGATCCCTTTAATGCAGTGCCTCTGTTTCCCGATCTGTCAAATGGGGCCAGGGAGAACCTGCAGCATTTCCTGTACACAAAACCACCGCCTCTGTGTGAGTGTGATGGGACAGGGGTGTCACAGCTTAACCTCGGTTTACACTTGGCTTATTGACCTTTGTCTTTCTGACCACCTCTTTCCCCTGGCCAGCCAGCTTCCTGTTGACAACACTCCTCTCCTCTAGACTAACCATGCGGCTCACACTTCTCCACGTGTTTAACTAATTTTGGCCCCCAGCAGGACACAGGAAAAAATGCACCTGATTTCCAGGGAAAATACCAGCTGTCTAGGCTATTTCCAGCCCAGCAAACAGCTGCCAGAACTGATACAACAATGCAGGTGTGTTTTGGTTCAGGGCACAGACTTTCCCTGGCCTCACACACTCCAGGCGTAATGAGGCTAGAACAGGATCCCGAGCCTATCTTTCTCACTCTCACACAACCACTCAGAGTACGCATTGGGTGAGCAGGTCCCTCTGCTTCATCCTCTTTCCTCCCTCTCCCCACCATGACTGTTCTAGACTCCATTCAAAGTGGAATGTCCTGAAAACATACATCCACACAGAAACCTGTACACAAATGTCACAGCAGCATATTCATAATAGTCTCAAAGTGGAAACAACACAAATATCCACCAACTGATGAGTAGATAAACAAAATGTGGTATATCCCTACAGTGGAATACTATTCAGCCATAAAAAGGAAAGAAGGTAAAGAAAAAAATAAAAAGGAATGAAGTATGATCCCTACTACAGCATGGATGAGCCTTGAAAACATTATGCTAAATTAAAGAATCAATCATAAAAGACCACATATTATATGCTTCCATTTATATGAAATATCCTGAACAGGCAAATCCACAGAAACAGAAAGTAGATTACTAGTTGCCTAGGACCAGGGGAATGGGGAGTGACTGCTAATAGGTATGGGGTTTCTTTTTGGGGTGAAGAAAATTTTCTAAAGTTGACTGTGGTGTTAGTTGTACAACTTTGTAAATTGTACACTGTAAATGGGTGCATTGTATGGTATGTGACATATCTCAATAAAGTGGTTTTAAAGGAACGAATAAATAAATAAATAAACAAATGTTTAAGGAAACTGAATGTCCCTGTTTCTCAAAGTACTGAAGAGTTTCCCACCTTGTACCTTTGCTCACAGCATTTGCTCTACCTGGAAAGCCTTCTGCTCAATCTCTGCCCATTGAAATCCTAGCCGGGCTTCAAAGTCTAACTCAACCCATCTAGTCCTTGAAAGCTTCCCTCCCCAGCACTGAGCCCACCACCACCAGAAGTGAATTCTTCCTCCCCCAGTCCCCTTCCTGCTTATTTGAATCTTTTGTTATGACATTTGTCATGCTGTCCCTTGTCCAACAGTCCTTGCTCTCTCTGTCCTAGCTCCCCTCCCGGATCCTCAACTGGAGGGAGGATTCAGGTCTGCATCTTCACCCCCACCGTGCAGAGCACAGTGCCAGGCTGAGGGTGGCCGTAACTGTCAGCTGAACTGATTCTGAATCTGGACTGAAAACACTCTAGGTGCCCCCACCCCAAAATTCCCAGCTCCCTGAAGTCTCTGTGACCTCATGTCACAGTGACTGGAAACTTTCACTCAAGTGAGCTGGCTGAGGGCCCTCCCATTTTTTCCTTTTTTAAAAAAATAAATAATACATTTCCTTTTGCATTTTTTTTCAGCTTGTTTATTCTTTTTCCCCTCTGGAGATTTCTTCCAACTTTATTTTGAAAATGTGTCAAAGTCCTATCGCAAAGCAGAGCAGATTCTTAGGCTCTGCAGAAAGGAGAGCAGAGGGCAGGAGAAGGTCAGGAGACAGGACCCAGGTAGGTGGCCCCACTCCAGGGCCCCCAATTCAGCCCTCCAGTGGCTGCCCACAGACCCAAGCGTCCTGGCACCCCATGCAGTGAGCTGTACCCTCCCCACTGCCCACCATCTCCCAGGCAGGCAGCTTCTCCCTCCATTCCACCACATTCTTCAGTCACCTTACTGGGAACTGTTCCTCTCCTCCAGGGAATGGCCCTGAGGCTCGTCTCTGGGGCCGAGGGGCCAGGGCCCGGGTCTTCCTGACCACCACAACCTGCTTGAGGCCCAGGCACCACCACACAGTACATGCTGAATGGGGATGGAAGCCACGGTGGACAGAGGCAGACACGCCGGACCTGGTGAGCTTCAGGACTACGGGGAAGTGGAGATGGGGGTGGGGAACGACAGGAGGAAGGAAGAACAAGTGGAGGCTGAATTCTCCCAGAGAGCACCACCCTGAAAGGTGAGACAGGTCCTTGCCTCTCATCCTCTCACCTCTCACCTCTGTGGCCCACAGTCCAGGGGAAATAGCCTCCCCACTGGCTTGTGAGAACCTCAGGGCAAGGCCACGTTTTCTCACCTGAGTCCCACCTATCCCCAGCCCCACCTCAAGAACCTAACACACAGCAGGTGACCTCTCCCCTGCTTGGAACACTCTCCCTGCACAGTCCCTACCCCAAACCTGCCTAATTCCTACCCACATTTCAGTAAAATAGTACCTCCCCTAGAAAGTCTTCACATACACACACACACCCCACCTCCCCAGTTCCCATAACACCCTGTGCTTCTTCCACTGCCTCAGGGTGGCGGCTTATCTGTCTCCTGCACTGGGCTATGAGCTTCCCGAGGGTTTTGTTCCTCTCATCTACCCAAAGCTTGGTATAGAGCCTGGCACCCACCAGGTGCTCAGTAAATGTTCCCTGACTGAGGACAGGAGCCATTTACTAAGCCCCTGCAATGTGCTTACCAACCACGTGACATACTTCCTACCTCACTGGACCCTTTCAACTTCCTGATGCAGTGCGTGTTATCATTCCTCTCTTTGAGAAAGAGAAGCCGAGACTGAAATACTGGCTCGTGGACACAGGGATTTTAACCTCTATCTGTCGGACTCCAAAACTTGTCCCCCTAACCACTAGACTAAATGATCCCCCTTCCTGCTTCTCAGGGGTCCTGGGAATCTATCCCAGAGAGAAGCAAGAATGCCACGTGGGCCTGAAAACCTGGGCAAACTCACACCTGGCTCGGGCACAGCTATCTTCCCGCTCTGGCACCTGCTTCCCATCCCTGGCTGCCTTTTCTTCCAGTGATGCTTTCACCTAAGTTGAGTGGCCTCAAGCCCCACCCCTGGCCTGGCCCTCGTGTTATGTCCAGAGGCTCAGAAAGGAGTCTCAGGACCTCCCGGGCTGGACCTCCTCCTTTCAGTGAGAAAACAGAGGTCCTGGCAAAGAAAGTCCCAGGGTGGGTCTGGATAAAGTGATGTGGCCTGGGGGTTTCGCTGGGAGGTGGCCGTGGGGCAGCAGGAATGCTCTGCTAGGTGGTCAGACCTGGGTTCTTGTCTCCACTTTACAACTCCCATGTTGGGCCATTTGGCCCAGATGCATCTTCAGGCTCAGACCTGCCCAGACGGGAATAAACAGAAGCCACAGGCTCCTTGCCACTAATGTGTCCTGCTTCCATCCCAGGCCACCAAGGTGATTCCAGGCCGGCCAGGGGATTCAGACCCCATGTCTGCAGCTCCTCTTGCTTTCAGAAAGGCTTCCTTCTTGCTATCCCAGCCTCCACTAACAGCTGGATGCTACCAAGGAGGCAGGGCAGGGACTGACATTTACTGAACCTTTACCAAAGCTGGCAGCACATGAGTGCTCTATGTCATCCTTGCAGCCGCCCTGAGTGGTAGGTAGTCATCAACCTCATCTCACAGACGAGGAAACAGAGGCTCAGAGAGCTGAAGCATTTGCCCAAGGTCCAACAGCTCATAATGACAGAATCAGGGTGGGCTTCCCAGGCAGTCCAGCCCCTGCTCTCCACCACATCATCCAGTTTGGTTAAATATCTTCAGTGGTCCCAGTGACCATCAGAGAAAGCCCAAATACCCTGCCTGATATTTGAGGCATTCCTGTGCTACCTTTCCAGCCTCACTGCCCAGCATCTACCTGCACTTGCCTCACATCCCTCAGGAAGGTATCACCATGCCCAGAACGACTCAATTCCATCCTTTGCTCCGGCTCTTCCCCTTGCCTAGAATGCCTTTCCTACTTCGTCTTCACACTTTCAGAGCTGATCCCCCATCCCCGCCTCCTTTTACTCCCTTACTTTTCAATGAAGGAGCCCCTGACCTTGTGCTCTAACCCCCTCAGCCCTGACAATGTTTAAGAACAAGTGGTCCTAGTTGCAGGCTGTCTCTCATACTGTGATGCTGCTTTCCTGAGTGGTGGCCTCCCTGGGAAAATTCCAATCAGTTTTAAGGTTCCTGGCACCCCCTGTGGTGTCTTGCATCTGCTGACATGAACTGAAAGAACTGGGGGCCAATGGCCCTTCCCTTCCTGTCTCGTGAGGCCCTCCACCACTACTAGGGGCGCCCGAGTGCACTCCTCCCCACAGGGCTGCCATAGAGCTGGGTCAGGAGGGGAAAGGGACTGAGGGAGGTCCCCAAGGGTAGCCCAAGGGCCAGCAAAGCAGCAGTTCCCCAGGGGCTTGGTCTAAGCTTCTTTGCTTCCGCCCCTCCCCAAACAGGGTAGGGTGGTGGAAAAAAGCCCAGGCCTGGGTACTGGGAAACTCCAGTTTCAGCTCTACCAGCCAAGGCTGTGTGAGCTTAAGCAGGCCGCTTCCTGTCTCTGGGCCTCAGCCTCCAACTCTAAAATAGACACTGGATGA